TCCGCCGGTGCGGCCTGTGGGAGACTTACTAAGAGGGGTGTAGGATTTGGAAGCAATCGGAGAGCGCCTCTGCTAGCCGCGAGCTAGGCAGACAGCTGCGGCAGGGTTGTGGCTGCATGACTCGGGCCTCTCGGTTCTCCACAGGTTCTGCGGGCCCGTCTGCCACCGCGAATGCAGGAGCGGCTGGAGCCCACAGCAGCGCCACCACCGCCTGCCTCGCGCGCCCTCCCGTGGCGGCCTCCGGTTCTGCTGCTGCCTGGATCTGTACTTGCACACTGAGTCCCCCACAAGAAGGACAATTGTTGCCATGCTGGAAGGACCCATCTTGAAAAAGTTCTTCGGGGCCCTGACTGAGGAAAACATGTGTCCTACGTTGGGTCATGGTCAAAGCCGTGGGAGATGGGATCTGGCCCTGGGGAAGACTCATCCACAGCCAGCTCTATATTCAACCGTTAAAAGGCCAATCTGAAGCCAGGTGCTGGTGGCACACACCTATAATCCTAGCTACTAAGCTACTCAGGAGGCCGAGATCTGAGGATTGCCGTTCGAAACCAGCCGGGCAGGAAAGTTCATGAGACTCTTAGAACTACCAAATAGCCAGAAGTGGTGCTGTGGTTCAAGTGGTAGAACATTATTCTTGAGCTGGAAAAGCTCAGGGACAGACCCAGGCCCTGAGTTCAAGCCCCTTGGACCAGCACACACACAGCCAGCCAATCTGAGTCCTGAGTCAAGGTTAAGTACTGGATCCCATGCCTCACCCAAAATCACCCTTGTGTTTCCAAATCTTCAAACCTCCTCCTCCAGCAGATAGGAAGTGAAGGGCCAGGGGCCTTGTTTCTATTGTGTATCTGACTGTGAAGGGTCAAAGTAGCCCACTCTCTCCCCAGCCTTCAAAGAAGCCTATTCCCAGGGCACTTCCTCAAAAACTACCACAATCAGAGCACTCTCAGTGCCTTCCCAATGCCCAGGGAGTAGCCCTACTATGTGTTCTTACTACAGCCCTTTTTGTGGTACTGTTTTGCTCTTAATCCACTAGATGGCCCCATGGATAGCCAGGTCAGAGGTAGGTTGAAACTTAGGTTTCATACCGGTCTTGGACTCCATAGTATATGCAGTAGTTACAACTAAGATTCAGGACAGTCTAGGGGCTAGTAATTGGTGACTTCCCTTTTGGTGAGGAAGAAATGAAGCAGGATAGATAAGGTGAGGAGACAGGGAATTTTTATTTCTATTCTTTTGTGCCAGTATTAGGGCTTAAACTCAGAGCCTGGAAACTGCCACGACTTTTTTCACTTAAGGCTAACACTGCATGGTAGTTAATTGGAGAAATCAGACTTTCCTGATTGAGCCGGTTTCAAATGGTAGTCCTCAGCTATAAGCCTCCTGGGTAAATAGGATTACAGGGAGTTTACATTATTTTTAATAAATGTGAAAAGGGTCAGGCTCAGAAATTGGAACCTGGAAGCAACTAGCAAAGCAGTTAAGCTGCAAGCAGGGAATCAAGAAAGAAAAGAATGAAAGGAAGAAAATAGGGCAAAGGGAATAAGTAAAAGCTCAGTGTGAGCCAAACTTTCAGAGGAGCAACTGAGCATTGGCTTGGTATTTGTGATGTGTATCATCATCCAAAACATCGGGTTTAACTCTGGGCCCGAGCGCTGTCCCTGAGCTCTTCAGCTCAAGGCTAGCGCTCTACTACTTGAGCCACAGCACCACTTCTGATTTTCTGATAGTTTATTGGAGATGAGAGTTTGTTGGACTTTCCTGCTGCCTAGGCTGGCTTTGAACCGTGATCCTCAAATCTCAGCCTCCTGAGTAGCTAGGATTACAGGCGTGAGCCACCAGCGCCCGGCAATTGATACCTTTAACAGGCGGCTTGCTCTATAGTTTCAGGAAGAAGAGGCTGCCATTGGGAGAGGTCTTAGAAAAAGAGGCCTGACTGGGTGTTCAGGGTTATGATCAGGAGGGCTGATCTGTTGCTGCAGATGAGTGAATGTGACAATGACAACACAGGTTCTAAAGCCAGACAGACTTGGGTCCAAAATCTAATTCTGATACTCAATAGCATCACTTTGGGCATGTTGCTTAACTTCTCTAAGCCTTAATTTCTCATGGGCAAAGGTGGTAGTAATAATAATATCTACTCCGTAGAATTATTGTGATGTGACATTGAGTACGTATTCAATAAGTGGTAGCTGTTGCTATGGCCAGTGCTCTCGTTACACAATCCTTGTACCATGTCAGAGGACATTGTACAGACATGCTAGAGAAATGAGGGAAGGGACTACACTGGCATAGGTCAAAGGCCAAGCAGCCTAGTCAAGAAACTGCTTAGTAATGACCCAAAAAAGCCTTAACTCACAGCACACTGTCCTGATAGAGTTTGCCTCTTTTCCTTCCTCCTTATCGTCATCCCCATAAGACCTCCTGTAATCGCAGCCACTATGGAAAGTGTAGGGACTGCCTCAGGGGGACTGTGTCCTAGCTCCTGTCCAGTCCTCTCACCTATCGATGTAGAAGTGTATTATCCCAGCTCAGCTGCATTCCCAGGATGCATTTTGGTGAACAGGATGACTATGAACCCAATATTGTGCTGAGACCTTAGGTGACTGTAGGGCCAATGAAAGACTAGACAGTGACAAGCCAGAGGCCCCCATCTTCCCATGCCGGCTGCTCAGCTTCCCAGTTTCCGTACAAAATTACAGGTTCCTGAGATCCATACATGAAAAGCATTTCAAGGTGTACCACAAAAAGTCTCCCAATGTGAATCACAAAAAGTCTCCCAAGGTGAAAGTTTAAGCAAGGTTAAAGTAGAGAGAGAAATACTTCCTGCTCCCCAGGCAGTTAATGGAAGTTATCAGCTTCTTTTCTTTTAGAGCTGGAGAAATACGTAGTGCTAGCAAACCCCATCCCTTAGGATATGGTTCTGTGTAGCTCACTTGGTATTCTAAAACACATGGGGACAAGAGGTGAGCTTTAGTTGCCGTGTGTGTGTGTGTGTGTGTGTGTGTGTGTGTGTGTGTGTGTTCGTGTTCACTGTACACACACATGCTCTGGTCTTGGGGCTTGAACTCAGGGCCTGGGCACTGGCCCTGAGCTGGCTTGCTGGCTTGCTTGCTTCCTTCCTTCCTTTCTTCCTCCCTTCCTCCCTCCCTCCTTCCTTCCTTCATCATGGGGCTTGAACTCTGGGCCTGAGCACTCTCCCTCAGCTCTTCAGCTCAAGGCTAGCGCTCTACCACTTGAGTCACAGGGCCACTTCCGGTTTCCTGGTGGTTATTTGGAGATAAGAATCTCACAGACTTTTCCTGTCCAGGCTGGCTTTGAACCAGGATCATCAGATCTCAGCCTCCTGAGTAGCTAGGATTACAGGCCTGAGCCACTGGCACGAGCCACTGGTACCCAGCCTCTCTCCTCTCCCCACCCTTTCTCTTTTCTTTTTCTTTCTTCCTCCTTCCCTCCCTCCTTTTCTTGCTTCCCTCTTTTCCCTTCCTCCCTTCTTTCTCTCTTATTTTGGTACTGAGGAGGGAAACAAAGCTGGGCAAAGCTGTACCACTAAGATATACCCCAGCCCTTGTTTGTTTTGGTTTTTTGCTGGTTGTGGGACCTGAACTCTGGGCCTGGACTGTCCCTCAGCTCTTCAGCTCAAGGCTAGCACTCTACCACTTGAGCCACAGCACCACTTCCGGCTTTTTTTCTTTTTGCTTATATGGTGCTGAGGAATCGAACCCAGGGTCTCATGCATGCAAGGCAAGCGCTCTACCACTGAGCCACCTTCCCAGCCCCTTGGTTTTTTTTTTTTTTTTTTTTTTTTTGAGACAGGGTTTCACTATGTAGTTTGGCTAAACTGGAACCCACTATGTAGCCCAAGCTTGCCTGGACCTATTTCTGTTTCGAAGTGTTGGGATTATAGGCCTGAGCCCACGTGCTCAACTCCATTCTATCCTTGAATGCCCTTCCCTAAACCCTTCAAGGGCCATTAGCTAAAGTTTCAAAAGACTTCTAATTTCCTTACTCTTGTGACTTCACACAAATCTTGGGTCTCAAGGCTACAAACACCTCTCCAAAGCTCCTCTGGCACAGGCTTTAAAGAGAAAGTTGCTGGGTGCTGGTGGCTCATGCCTATAATCCTAGCTGGTTGAGATCTGAAGATCATGGTTCAAAGCCTGTCTGAGCGGCAAAGTCCATGAGACTTTATCTCCAATCAACTACTAGAAAACCATAAGTTGCACTGTAGATCAAAGTGCTAGAGTGCTAGCCTTGAGCAAAAATGCTCAGGGACAGTGCCTGAGCCCTGAGTTCAAGTCCCATGACTGACAAAAAAAAAAAAAAAGGTAATAAGGGCCTGATCTCTGGTCCTATTAGGGTGGCATGCTCTTCCCTGTTCCTTTAAGGAACAACAGCAACAAAATATCAAATTAAAAAAAAAATTCTCTCCAAGTCTTGAGACAAAGGAGCAAAAGCTTTTGAGGAGTAAAAATGAGAATCTTGTTTCTGTATTCTCAATATTTCCCTGGACCTCTTTAGGGGTGCAGGGGAAAAGCCTAGAACTTAAAACATCTTAATATTTCTTTTTTTAAAAAAGGCAAAGAAAAACCTTACCAATACTCAAAGGCAAACAGTTGGTTTCCAAAGAAAAAACCGAGACTGCTAAGAAATTCCCTTCTGTGGAGGGGGAGTTGGAGCTCCTCCCCCAACCCGGACTGAATCCTTCGCTCTAAGGTCTGAGAAGAGTGAGCCTGGCACCGAGTGAAGGTGGCTATTGTGATTTCCCGGGCGCCAGAAGGGTAGCTCTGTGACCGGGCGTGACCCGACCAGAGGCCCTGGGAGAGAGCAGCCCGGTCCCAGGCTGTACCCTTGACTACAAGGTCGGAGGCGTGGGAGGCGTGTCGGGTCGGACCACCTACTTGAGGCCCCGCCCCCGCGCGACCACGCCCCGTGTGGCCACGCCCCTCCCAGCTCCGCGTGCTCGGCTCACTCTGCTCTCTACTCCCCGGGTGGAGCGGCTAGTCCTGAGCCTGGTCCAGGTGATCGTGGCGCTGTAAGGAGAATCGCTCCCTCCGGGACTTGGTCTGTGACCTCTCCCGGGGCTATACAGAACTGCCCCCACCGGCTTCCACCCATCAGCGGATCTAAAAGGAGTTGGAGTTTCTAACCAGTGGACGGTCCCGGAGCCCAGGTCCGAGTGGCCGTTCGGCCCGGCCCGGCCCGGCCCGGCATGGCTGTGCACGCCCGCCGTCTGTGCCATATCGCCTTCCACGTGCCAGCCGGCCAACCCCTGGCCCGAGATCTGCAGCACCTCTTCGGCTTCCAGCCCCTGGCGGCGCGGGAGGCGGGCGGCTGGCGGCAGCTGGCCTTACGCAGCGGAGATGCGGTCTTTTTGGTAAACGAGGGCGCAGGACCCGGGGAGCCACTCTATGGCCTGGACCCGAGTCACTCAGTGCCCAGCGCCACGAACCTGTGCTTCGACGTGGACGATGCGGCCGCTGCTGCCCGGGAGCTGGCTGCTCGGGGGTGCCGCGTGCCTGTGCCCCCGGTGAGCGTGCGGGATGCGCGGGGCGCGGCTGTCTACACCGTGGTCAGCTCGCCGGCGGGCAACCTCAGCCTGACGTTGCTAGACCGCGCCGGCTATCGCGGGCCTTTCTTACCCGGCTTCACATCGGTGTCCCCGGCGCCGGGACTGGGCTGGGTCAGCCACGTGGACCACTTGACCTTGGCTTGCACCTCTGGCAGCTCCCCTACACTCAGGCGTTGGTTCCACGACTGCCTAGGCTTTCGCCACTTGCCACTGAGCCCAGGTGAGGATCCGGACCTGGGTTTAGAGGTGGCAGCAGGGTCCGGGCGCGGTGGGCTGCGACTCACTGCCCTGCAGACTGCGCCGGGCAGCACGGTTCCCACCCTCGTGTTAGCCGAGTCACTGTCCAGAGCCACCAGCAAGCAGGACCAGGTGGAGCAATTTCTTGTCAGACACAGGGGGCCAGGGCTGCAGCACGTAGGGCTGTACACGCCCAACATCTTAGAGGCGACTGAGAGGATAGCGGGGGCCGGAGGCCGGCTGCTGACACCTCCAGCAGCATACTACCAACAGCCCGGCAAAGAGGGGCAGATCCTAGCTGCGGGGCACAAGCCTAGCCTTCTGGCCCGGCAAGGAATCCTGCTAGATGGCGATAAAGACAAGTTCCTGCTTCAAGTCTTTACCAAGTCCCTCTTTAATGAGGATACCTTCTTCTTAGAGCTGATTCAAAGACAGGGGGCCACAGGCTTTGGCCAGGACAACATCCGAGCATTATGGCAGTCCGTGCAAGAGGAAGCTACTAGAGCTCAGAAAGCCTGAAGCTGGCTGGAGGTAGGCCAGCCATCTTGTCTTGGTGCTCTAGGATCCCACACAGCCTGCAGGAACTGAGACTCACCTATGGGAACACCACCCAGCTACTAAAAGCCTTGCCTTTGGCACCAGGTGTGCCTCTATCTCAACAGTTCCACCCAGCAGCTACGTTTCTCACCTGGGTGGGTGGGGCTTTATAAGGCAAAGCCTTATAAAAGCCTTTTTGCAGCTTAATATCAAATATATATGAAAGATAAAAGAATGACACAACTAGGTCACAGCACAGCTTGTTCTTTTTGGAGCCTTTGTGTTTGAGAGGATTCCCATCCTCCCCAATTTATGATGAATAATCCTTATGTATTTTTCACTTCATAAGATGAGATTATCCCTAAATAAATGATTCAGTGTTTGAGGTAGGAATTTAAGACAAATCCTCTGCGCTTCTCTTCTCCTCAGGAAACAACAGCTCCAGGTGAGAACAGATTGGTCAGGGAGCTCTAGTGTGATCCCCCTGCTCCAATCAGAGCTGACTTGATACCAGAATGAGAGGGATGGCTGTAAACCACTAGCAGGTGTTCCTGGCAGTTGCCTCGCCTTCACTCCCTCAGGAGAAAAAGTGAATGGATTATTCTAGCTAGAACACCCCTCATCTCCATCTGCCTTGGAGTCTGGGAGCTCAGGCAGTGAAAGTCAGGACTGAGCAGGTCTTCATTTTCTGGATCTCCAGGAGTTGGAGAATAAAGGGACTAGGGAGATTTAAGCTGTAGAAAACTCTGATTCACTACAAAAATAAGTTCTTTATTAAACAACAGGGTTTTCAGGTAAAGGCTTCTAGCATAATTAGGCAGCACTGTTAAGGCTTTGTGAATCAGTAGGGACATGAGGCTGAAAATATTTTTCCAGGACTTGCTGGCCCCGACTAGGTTTTTTCCGGCTGGGCATTTTTTGGCTGGATGGCTGGGACCTTTTAGAACCCTGTGCAAAAGTCAACAGTGACAGGTACTGAGGAGACGACATAGGGAATCTCCCCCTTGTCCCTTCCCACTCAATTATTCCAATCAGCTACTAGCCTGGAATGTTACAGAGCTTTCCACCTGTCTCCAAGTATCTGCTGCTCTTTCTGCCAACTCTTCAAAAGCAGCCAGAGAAAATCTTCCTAAGATGAAAATCTGACTTCTCCACCTACGATGTTTTCTTGGCCTGGCCGACCCTGAGCAGGCTCTGCTGACCTCGCCCAATTCTTTCAATACTGTAGACTACCTTGTACTTCACCTACTTGGGGTTCAGGAAAGAGCATCCTTTCTGCTTGACTCGGTTCCCAAACCAGGAGAAAACTACTCATTTCTAGGACCCAGATTAGCAACTTTTCTCAAGCAGCCTTTTTTTTTGTCAGTCATGGGGCTTGAACTCTGGGCCTGGGTGCTGTCCCTGAGCTCTTCAGCTCAAGGCTAGCGCTCTACCACTTGAGCCACAGCGCCACTTCTGGCTTTTTCTGTTTATGTAATGTTGAGGAACCAAACCCAGGGCCTCATGCATGTGAGGTAAGCACTCTACCACTGAGCCACCTTCCCAGCCCCTCAAGCAGCCTTTCTTGATCTTTGCCTTCCAGATAGAACTGACAGCTACCCACCTCATGTCCTGTAAAACCTACCATAAACGGTGCCCATACCTGTGACACTACTGCCTTCACCAACTTGTTCTTGTCCCCCTGCAGACAGACCAAAAACTGTTCTTGAGAGTACAGAATATCCACCCATGTGTCAATGACTAAAAACAATGGATTCAAGAGTGGGAAGAGATGTCCGAGTAAGGGCCATGAAACTCACCTTGCAGCTCCCTGGCTGGTCTTCATACATTTGGAACACCTAGTCAAGAGCAGAGGGCAACAGGAACAGGGTGACATGTCTCAAAAGACTGAGACACACACACGGGGTGACATCTCAAAAGACTGACACACACACACATACACACACACACCCTTCCTTCTCTGCCCTCAACCTGTATCCACACACACGGGGTGACATCTCTCAAAAGACTGACACACACACACACACACCCTTCCTTCTCTGCCCTCAACCTGTATTCACACACACGGGGTGACATCTCTCAAAAGACTGACACACACACACCACACACACACCCTTCCTTCTCTGCCCTCAACCTGTATTCAGCCTCTCAAAAGACTGACACACACACACCCTTCCTTCTCTGCCCTCAACCTGTATTCAGCCTCAGCACTTTTGTTTAGAATGTGTGCTTTTCTTTTTTTTTCTGTTTATAAGCAATACGTTGATATAGAGCAAGTAAAAAATACGGAAAAGGACAATGAAGGTAACAAAGATAGTGCCTTTTTCATAGCAGTGGAAACAGCTGCAGTATGAAATTCTTCTCGAGTCAGCCAGCGAGCAGCAGGTGGTAGAGTCTTTGGGGTCTGCCCTTCCAGAATCACACCATATACAAGATAGGTCAGCTTGATGTGAGAAAAGGTGTGGATCACCTGAGGGGAGGGACAGGGGGCTGAAAAGGGCTTGTGGAGGTCACAAAAGCCTCATTCCAGACCACTCCACGGCTCACCTCCCCAAGGTGCCGAAGGGAGGTGTCTGGGAGCGGCCCAACCCAACTCTTCAGTTCCTGTAGCAGGGCCTTGGCCTTGCGCTGATGTTGCTCAGAGGGCTTCAAGGTTATGGAAGGAAATTCCCACAGTCCTGCCAGCAGACCTGAGAACCAGGGCAGCCAAGTGTGGGTTAGGCCTCAGCTGCTGACTCCGTTCCTCCCTGATGCTCCAGCCACTGCCATCTACTCCCAGTATTCAGGTACCTGAGTTGGGCCTCTGCACCAGCAGAAAGCAGGCTCCCCCTTGGGCTCTGGGCTGCTCCAAAACACAGATGGCAGAACATTCCTCCCTGGGAGGCTTGCGGGTGGCCTTTCGAGGAAAGTTGGTCACTCCCATGGTGGGGTCCCAGGGTTCTGAGGGAGGTGGGCACAGCTGGCACCGTCCAGGGTTGGGAGCTGGGAACAGACATCGCCAATCCTGCTGAGATCAGGGCTTAGAGGCCAAGTCTAGAGAGCAGGGTTGGTCCAGTTGTGAAGAATCTTACTCGGGTTAGAGGAAGAACCACAATGAGGCTTCTATAGACAGCAACCTGACAGGGCTGGGAGAGGCTGGGGTTAAGATTAGAGCTGACACTCACCACATTCTTCCACATCAGGACTGCCTGGCAGGCTTCGTGAACCTGAGAGCCGTTCCTGCTCTACCTGAGAGGCACAAGGCAGTGTGGCATGGGGCGCAGTCACTCACTAGGGCCTCTGACTGCCCCTTCCAAGAAGCTCACCTTCTGGCGTGCCCAGCACAGGTCCTGTATTGGACACTGGCTGCAGAGAGGGCGCTGTGGGGTACACACTGTGGCACCTAGCTCCATGGCTGCTTGGTTGAAGTCCCCTGGCCGTGCAGGGTCCACCAGCTGCTGGACTAGGCTCCTAAAAGAAAGGACACCAGGATAAGCCAAAGACCCTTTGAAGATAGTCCCCCCAATTTCCTGATATCCCAGTATCCTACCAGAGCTGCTGAGAGACAAAGGTGCAGCTGGAATCAGCACCAATGGCTCGGACACGGCACAACACCCGTATTACATTCCCATCCACCACACCGGTTGCCTGGCACAGAGGAACCCAAGAGTTAGTCTGGGCTAGAGGAAGCAGGGTGGGCACACACAAAGTACAGGTGAACTATGGGCTCACCTGACCAAAGGCAATGGAAGCAATGGCTCCAGCTGTGTACCGGCCCACACCAGGCAGAAGCTTCTGTAGGGTCTCTGCTGTACGTGGCACATGGCCCCCTAGCTCCTCAACCACCTGAATGAGGCAGGAAGGTTCAAGGTGAGACATGCCAGAGTTCCTACCCCTTCCCTTCTCCATCACCCCTTTACCTTCCGCGCTCCCTCCTGTAGCCTCCGGCCTCGGGAATAGTAACCCAGGCCTGCCCAAAGCTGGTTCACCTCCTGTAGGTGAGGTTAGAGCCAAAGGATCAGTGGTCAGTTTCTCAGTTTCCCCCACTTCCTGTACCCAAGGGTGGCTCTCACCTCCAGGGAAGCACGTGCCAGGTCCTGCAGTGTTGGCCACTTCTACAGCCCCAAGGCAGACATAAAGAGATGGGGTCAAGGGTGAGGGTAATGGAAGAAGCACTTTCTATATCCAACCCCCAAATACAGGCTCATGTGGGGTCTGACCCAACTCTCCCCTCCCTCCCCTGGCATCACCTGCATCCATCGGGTATAGTAGTTGATCACTGTGGCAACCTGGGTCTGCTGCAACATAACCTCTGACACCCACACTAGGGAAGAGGGGCAGGCGTAAGGGCACTACTAACCTGCCTAGCTCCTAGCCCCCAGCCCAAAGGATTTCCAGGCAACCCTGTTCTCAAGAGATACTGACCAGCATATGCTCTCCTGTCCAAGTCAGCCTCATCTTCTGCCTGTCAATGCAACCCAGGTTGGGAATTAGGGTGAAAGGGGCTGGGTGTCAGCTTTCTGCTCCTCTGTCCCTGCTTACCCTTATCCTTGCCTGCTTACCCATCTTCTCCAGGGTAGGTCCCGCTTCTCTCGATCATACCAGCTCAACAGGCTATTCCGAAAGACTGTGACTTCAGCTGTGTCTCTGAATAGATGGTACGGGCAGACAGAGGCCCGCAATACTTCATTCTGCTTGACCAGGCCTGTAGAAGCCCCAGGGCACTCAGGAATCGCCACTGAACAGGCTGTGTACCAGGAACCAAGGGAACAACGGCCCGTGGCAGTGTGCTCGCCTTTAGGACTTTCCCACCCCAACACCTTGCTTAATCTTTGGAGCTGGTATCAGACCTTAGGGTCTCTAGTTATATGTATAACCTCAATTTTCTCAGAGCGATACTGCTGGCTCTGTTGTTTCTGGTCCACAATGAATATCCAACGGTTTCAGCTAGATATAGTATATACCCATGTAACGGTATATATTTCTTTGTTAAAAAAACAAACAGCTGGGTGCTAATAGTGTATGCCCGTGATCCTAACTACTCAGGAAGTTGAGATCTGAGGATTAAAGTTCAAAGTTACCCTAGGAAGAAAAATCTGAGACTCTTATCTCCAATTAACCAGCAAAAAGCCAAAATAGAGGTATGGATCAAGAGGTAGAGTGCCAGTCTTGAGCAAAAGAACCAAGCAAGAGGGTGAGAGTGAGTTCAAGCCCCAGTACCAACACAAAAAAAAATCCGTCCAAAGAAACAAATGAACACTTTCAATCTCATAAACTCACTTGACATCATGAAGGCCACATGAAAGAAGAAATACAGACTACTTTACCTTGTTACTGGAAAGAAAGCACAGGCCAACTCTTTCAAAGTCATGTAGTAGCAGAGAATTAGACCCTTAGATTCCTAATACTTTGGTACATACCAGGCTCCTTTCCCAGCTTGAATCTGCCCTTTATCGTGGTAAAACTAGTTCCTTGCAACTTTGGCTAGGACAAGTTCCTTACCATCGGGGGCAGAAGGCTTGGCCTGGGTGCTATTGAGAGCATGATTTTCCCTTCCCTCCAGACAGGCTGCCTGCTTCCTGTGAATTCTCACAGCTGCTCGGGGCTTCTTCATGATGTCCTGGAACACATACACAGCCAAAGTAGTCAGTCACAAGGAAGCTGAACCTTGGGGTGCTGCAGAATCCCAGACACCTCTTGTCCTAGATCACTCATATAGTATGAAGTTTTCACAGTCACTCTCATAGTGCCCATGGTTTTGCTCCTAGCTGGCTGTGGCAGTGAAGTATGACCAGCACAGTTGAGCAAATGGTTTCAGGGGACCATCATATTGATAGCCCCAGATACATACAGAATAAGAGGGCAGGACGATGATAGGCCAAGAGCCAAAGTCTTCTGTTGGGAAACAGTGTGTATAAGAGTAATTTTGGGGTATCTGGGATCATGGTGGTGGGTAAGAGGTTTTTCCTAATCACCTCATGTGCTGTGGTTATACTGAAGAAGCCTTTAGCAATCATCTAGTTCAAAGCCTTCATTTGAAAGGAGAAATCAAGAATTAGAGAAGGAGGGCTGGGAATGTGGCTTAGTAGTAGAGTGCTTGCCTAGCATGCATGAAGCCCTGGGTTCAATTCCTCAGTATCACATACACAGAAAAAGCTAGAAGTGGTGCTGTGGCTCAAGTGGTAGAGTGCTAGCCTTGAGCAAAAGCTCAGAGACAGTGCCCAGGCTCTGAGTTGAAGCCCAAGGACTGGCAAAAAAAAAAAAAGAAGAAAAAGAATGTGGCTAAGGTGGACCTTGTTATAATGTTACTTGACCAATGACTTGCAGCAGTTAGAAAAGTAATTGTGGACACCTGTGGAAAGTAAGAAGTCACTGGAAAGGTCTGGCATGTTAGTAGTACAACAGCAGGCCAGTGGTTACAATGGAATGAGGGAAGGTAAGTGACAGGAGATAGGAGATGGGGTGGGTAGCACCATAAAGTACTTCCTGGAAGGCTTTGGCCGTCACACCGCTTGCTCTTGAAGTAAAAGCCAATCCTCTAAATAGAGTTTTTGTTTTGTTTTTCTTGGTCGTGGGGCTTGAACTCTAGGCTTGGGTACTGTCCCTCAGCTCTTCAGCTCAAGGCCAGGGCTCTACCACTTGAGCCATAGCACGACTTTCAGCTTTTTCTGCTTATGTGGTGCTGAGAAGTCGAACCCAGGGCCTCATGCATGCAAGGCAAGTGCTCTACCACTGAGCCACCTTCCCAGCCCTAAATAGTGTTCTGAAGGTCAATGGGTCAGGGCTCCACATGCCTCGTCCTTTCTCACTATGCTCTAGCTACTTTTGTCAGAATTTAATTGCTTTAAGCTCCAAGGTTGTCTACTTTGAGGCCTCGCACCATCTATTTCTTCTGGAGAGGATTTTCTAAGTTTTTCCTAACATTTAATCATTTCCAACTCCTGACTTAAAAATCAAGTCTTCCTGTCTTATTCTCTCATATAGTTCTCTACTGATGCTCTTTTTTTTTTTTTTAGTCTGGTCGTGGGGCCTGAACTCTGGGCCTGGACACTGTCTCTCAGCTCTTCAGCTCAAGGCTAGCACTCTACCACTTGAGCCTCAGAGCCATTTCCGGTTTTTTTCTTTTTTGCCTGTGTGGTGCTGAGGAATCGAACCCAGGGCCTCATGCATGCAAGGCAAGCGCTCTACCACTGAGCCACCTTCCCAGCCCTCTACTGATACTCTTATACCAATTGTAATTTTACATTTACTCATGATTCAGTGTGTTTACCTTGTCTATAAAAACAAAACAAAAAGCAAATACCCCCACACACAGAAAAAAACCCATAAGGGGACAAAACTAGGTTTGTTATGTCCCCAAAGTCAGTGTTAAACTGCACACAACAAATACTTGTCAAATTAATTAACCTGCTGGGCATTGGTGGTTCACGCCTACAATCCTAGCTACTGAGGAGACTGAGATCTGAGGCTCCTGGGCTGACTGGCCCAGTGAGACTCATAGCTGCACTTAGCCAAAAAAGTCAGATGTGAAGGTGTGGCTCAAGTGGTAGCACACAGTCTTGAGGGAAAGAGCCAAGAAAGAGCAAAAGGCGCTGAGTTCAAGCCCTCATACTGAAGTAGACAAAGTTACCCTTTCTGGTGAAGGCACTTTGCTTCATACAGTTGGGGCTATCTGAATCAATAGGCCCCAAGGTTGTTTTGTTTTGTTTTTTTTCTGCCAGTCATGGGGCCTGAACTCTGGGCCTGGGCACCGTCCCTCAGCTCTTCAGCTCAAGGCTAGTGCTCTACCTACCATGTGAATGACAGAGCCACTTCCGGCTTTTTCTGCTTATGGGCACTGAGGAATCGAACCTAGGGCCTCCCAGGGCCTCTTGCATGCGAGGCAAGCACTCTACCCCTGGGGCCACCTTCCCAGCCCCCACAAGGCATTTTTAAATAAAAACACAGAAGGGGTAGTGACAGGATGTCATGATTCCTACACAACTAGAAAGCAATTGGTCAGAAGTTGATGTCAGCCCACCTGAACTTTTGTATATCTTATTAATGCCTATTTTGTGTGTAACCAGCTCGTATAAAACCCTGGCCCTCTCCCAACTAGGGAATCCAAGCTTCTGTCACTAGCCTGGTTCGGGTCGCTGGCAATAAATTCCTTTATCCTCTCTAAAAAGAGGTCTTGATGCTGTTCTGCATTGCCGCAACAATACCAAGCAAGCAAGCACACGAACATTAATTTAGCCGGATGAGGGAAGGGTCAAAGGAACTGATTCCTTTTTCAGGATGGGAAAAATCCAAAGAAACTCTGGATAATGATGCTCTAAGTAAAGTTGAAGACAAACTAGAAAGAAATGAACATCCCAGGAGAAAGGATTGGTGGGCATTGGGTGTGGCAGGTAGAACCCCCAGGAAAGGACGAGTCTTCAGTAGGGTCATCTATCCTACGGTAGCAGGAATCAAGCCCAAACACCCTCTAGGTCAGTAATAGCTTCACAAGTAGCCATCCCTGCTACCAGAGCCTTCACTCAAGTCACGTTATCACTTGCTTAGATCATCTCAAAAGGTCCTCTAATTGTCGACCGCTACCCTTCTGCAGCCTGGTCTTGTGGAACACTCCCCAAACTCTTTCAGTTCCTGGACGGCACTAAGCATTCGTTCTGGCTACTTGCCCTGCCCAAAACACCGTTCTTTTCTCGACAGGCCCTTCTCGTTACCTAACTGATAGGAATGCTTTAAACCCGATTTAGGCAGAGCCCCCTTCTTTGGGCAGACTACCCTGCCCACCCCAACCCGCGGGCTCCGCTCTAGAAAGCCACAGCTCCCACGCCTCCACCGGGCGCGCAGGAAAAGAAATTACCTCCAGGGTTGTCTCCCGCGCGCGACTTCCGACACTCCAGGGGGCGTGGCTTCGGCCAATCCTGGCTCGAGCCGGACGTACCAGCCAATAGGCTCTCAGCGCGCGCCCGGCCTACTTCCCGCACCAGACCGGGAGGTCTGAGCGGAAGTCTGACTCCTCGGCCACCCCCCGGGAGAGACCCCGCCCCATCCCTGCTAGGCCGTGTCGCGACTGGAAACAAAGCGGAAGTCCCGCGTACCCACAGAATCCAGTGAGGGACGCGTGCCGTCATGGCTGCTGGCAGTGAAGATGGCGTAGCTCCAGCTCCAATGGCCTCCGATGGTGAGTGGCTTTCCTGGGGGTCACCCTAAAAGCTTCTGCGGCTCGGTAAGGGAAAAGCCTCGGGACCATAGTTCTAGAGGCTGACCTGAAGCTGCCGCGAGTTAGCCCTTTCCTTCTTAGGCAGCCACGAGGAAACTACAGGTCCCGGCATGCAATGCGCCTGCCTGCAAAGACCGAAGGGGTGGAAGCTTTGTAAAGGCCGAGGAGGGGCATGCTGGGAGATGTGGTCTGAGTGGAGCTCATAATTTTAGTAGTTGGGAATCTGTCGAGACGGTGGAGTTTTTGAACCAGAAGTAGGAGACGTTGATAGCTCTGGTGTAGGGCATTTATCAGGCTTTGAAGCAAACCAGGAACTGCCGCTTATAGCTGTCGGGGCCTCCTGGGAACTGTAGTATGCAGCCTCGTATGTTTAGGGGATGGATTTTGTTTTGCTTTTTTTCCTTTGAGACATGATTGGTTTTGTAGCCTAGGCTGGCTTCACAGTCGAGGCCCTATTATCAGAGTGCTGGGATTAAAGGCTTACACCACCCATCCTCGCTCAAGGATTTTAAATTCCAAGCCCTGCAGAATATTTCCTGCAAGGGGTAAGGAAAAATCAAAGATGTTCCCTTCAACCTTACCTATCCACTGATAGGGATTCTGAGAAAGTAACTTCTTCCCAAAGTCTTACTAAAGTCATTGGAAGACCCAACTGTTCTCTTCCCAAACTCAGGGCACTGCCTACTCTGAGATATATGTGCAGAACACATAGGGTAGGAAAAAAGAGCTTGAGGTAAAGGGAAAAAGCTACCAATGGGGTCCCTGCAACCTAGCTTGGTGTCTGTTCCCTTGGGGTCTTGCCAGAACATGAACATCCACCACCCTCCTTATGCCTAGGAGGTGTCAACAGAAGCATAAAATCTAAGGAGGAGATAGTAGTCCAAGTTCCTGTGGTAGATGTGCAAAACGATAACTTCAAAGAGATGTGGCCCTCCCTCCTGCTGGCCATAAAGACATCTAGCTTCGTGGCTGTTGACACGGTGAGGCATGGGAAACAGGGAGGGCAGGTGGTTGAGAAGGGACTGGTGCTGGGGGGCCAATCACAACCCTACCTTTACCCACTCATAGGAGCTGAGTGGGCTAGGGGACAGGAAGAGTTTGCTGAACCAGTAAGTAAGCCTTCTCTTAGTCCCAGCCCCAGCAGAAGGGATAGATCTCAGCCCTGGAGGGGTGGGTCTATGTTCCAGTCCTGTGTGGTTTGGGTCCTTCATGAAGCTAAATCAGCTACAACCACTCCAAAAACCAATTTTACTTTTTTTTTTTGGACCAAAAACCAATTTTAAGGTGCATTGAAGAACGTTATAAGGCTGTGTGTCATGCTGCCAGGACCCGTTCTGTGCTGTCGCTGGGCCTCGCCTGCTTCAAGCAACAGCCAGATAAGGTATGAACTATCTCATCCCCATCCCTGATCTGTGGCAGAGATCCACAGGAGGGTTGAAGTGCCAGGGAACACTGGGTGTAAGGTTTTTTAATCTCAAGTCTTGATATAGCCCTCTTTCTCAGGGTGAACATTCCTACCTGGTCCAGGTGTTCAATCTCACTCTGCTGTGCACGGAGGAGTATGTTATAGAACCAAAATCTGTGCAGTTCCTGGTACAGCATGGCTTCAACTTTAATCGGCAGTATGCCCAGGGCATCCCCTACCATAAGGGCAATGACAAGGTAGGTATCCAATTTCCCTAGCCTTTCTTTGTCTGCTGGAAGCCTGTTTCTTAGTGAGTGTGGGGAATCACCATGGACAAGGCTGAGGAGACAAGACATACTATATGTAGTACTGGGTTGGTTGAGGAAGAACTTTCCAGATGAGGGAACTAGAGAGAAGTAGTCTATAGAAAGAACTCTCTGCTTCCCACTGACCCCCTCCTCCCTTTCCACCTAGGGTGATGAGAGCCAGAGCCAGTCAGTGCGAACCTTGTTCCTGGAGCTGATTCGAGCCCGCCGGCCCGTGGTGCTGCATAATGGTCTTATAGACTTGGTGTTCCTGTACCAGAACTTCTATGCCCACCTGCCAGAAAGCCTGGGAACCTTCACTGCTGACCTCTGTGAGATGTTCCCAGCAGGCATTTATGACACCAAATATGCTGCAGAGTTTCATGCCCGATTTGTGGCCTCCTACTTAGAATATGCCTTCCGGAAATGGTGAGGGAAAGGGGTAGGGTCTTGTATGAGCAGATTTCATTCACTTAATATTTATGGAGTGCTTACCATGTTCTAGGCTTTGTTTTTAGTTGCTGAGGATTCAGCAGTGCAATGAACAAATCAGACAAAACTCCTGCCTCTCATAGGGCTTACATGTTAGTGGAACAATACCCTCTTCTGCTGTTTCAGTGAACGGGAAAATGAGAAACGGCGGGCAGCTGGCAGCCCTCACCTTGTCCTGGAGTTCTGCAGCTATCCTTCTAGCATGAGGGCCCATATTGACTACCGCTGCTGCATGACCCCTGCAACCCACCATCGTCATCCCACCAACATCTGTGACAAATTCTCGGTGAGAACTCTTGTCCATTTCCTGGGGGAGGGGAGGCTTTGACATTTGGAACTCCTTCTAAGCCTCTTTCCTACCTCTAGGCCTATGGCTGGTGCCCTCTCGGACCACAGTGTCCTCGCTCCCACAATATTGATCTTATCATTGACACCGATGAGGCTGTGGCAGAGGATAAGCGGCGACGGCGACGACGTAAAGAAAAACGGAGGAGGGCTTTGATGAACCAGCCTGGGACAAAGACCTCTGGAGAAACTGAGGATGGTCCTCCCACTAAGCAGGTCTGTGGGGATGGTGTGAAGACTGAGGAAACTGAACAAAAAGTGGCCGAAGATGAAGCCAAGGACCAGTGTGGCTGTGAGCAAGATCATAAAAATGATTTGGGGATGGAGCTTAAGACAACCCAGCCTGAAATAGCTGACATGACTACCTCAGAAGTGCCAGGAAGTCAAGTCAGTCCTAACCCAGTGCCTGGGGATGGATTGCACCGGGCTGGTTTTGATGCCTTTATGACAGGTTATGTGATGGCCTTTGTGGGAATGAGCCAGGAACTCCAGTCCTGCAGTTCTGGACCCTGGCTACCTGAATGTCACAACAAAGTGTATCTGAGTGGCAAAGCTGTGCCTCTCACAGTGGCCAAAAGCCAGTTCTCCCATTCCTCCAAAGCTCACAACCAGAAGATGAAGCTGGCTTGGGGCAACAGCTGACCCAGCTTCTATCTGGCACTCTCCCCAGGAAGAGAAACAGAATAGAACAGAGTTGTTGAGTCTCTCTAGTATCCGAATATACTTTCAACTAAGAGAGTTGAGAGTGGGTAAAGGGGGACAGGGTGAAGGAGACTTGGCAGAGATCCTGCTGCATTGTTCCTGGACCTTTGCTTTACCTCAGAGGCTGAGGTATAAGAGTTCAAGTAAGAAGGCTGACCAGCACCTGCAATATCATCTTTATTTTCAAATCTGAAAGTGTCTTGGGAAGGTTTTTACCCCCAAAAAATCAACAGAAACAAGTTATGAAAATATTTTGACCAACTTCATTCTTTGGTTATCTCTTATTGCGGCTCTGTAAGGACAGATTGTTCCCGAAGCTCCAGCTATAGCAGGAAGGGAAGAAAATCAGTCCAAGTATAAACCGTTTAACCAACTGGTTGTATCACCTGTTAACAAAATACTTAGAGCAGGCCCTAAGGCCTACAAAACCAGCCCCCACTCCCAACCACAAGGCTGAAAGTCTTATGAGGCAGAACATTAAGACTCCTTTATAAATAGGAAAATAGATTAATCAACTTGAAAAGGTCTTTGAATAGGTTAGCTAAGAGCCATGACCACCGTGTTACCTTGCCCCGCCCCCTTGCATAGAAATGTAGTGGTGTGGTCTGACCATGCAGTAAGTGCAAACAGCAATTATTCAAGTGTCTTAGACATACTGGCAAGAAGCACCCCAGTCTTCAAGTCTGAAAAACAGCCATGCCTATTAGGGCCTCCTGGTCAGCTTTGAGTTCCTTCCAGTAGCTTATATGCCCCAAGAAAGGGCAAAAGAGACCTAGGGCAGGAAAGAACTGGGGTAATAGCCACCAGCCAGCTCATCCTAGAACTAGGAGTCCAATGGTCCTGTCTGGGAAAGTACACTAGAAACAAACAGGTGGGAGTTGGAGCTCCTTGCTAGATGTCTGAGGCTTAGTACCAATGGTTGGCCCTAACTAGAATGCCTCTCTCACTGCTGCTTCATCTCATATGTGCCATTGGGTCCTGGAAGCCCAAAAGCTAAGCAGCCTGCCTGCTCTGTGGGCTCCGGAGAAAAGTCAAGGCTGTGCACCTATGGCTTCAGCTGAAGATCCATCCCCAAAGTGTAGACAGGGACTAACCTCCCTCACCCATCCTTTTCTCCCTGGGTTTGTGGGCCTGTGCTTGAGACAGAGGAGGGGATTGCAACCAAGTCCCATGGTCTTACTTCTTCAACCTCCATCTCCTCAGAGGCATTTCCAAGGCCTGAGCTGGTCCCCTTGGGCTTGGGCCCAAAACCATTTTCTTCTTGGTTAGAGCAGTCCATTGCCTCATGGGCTACAGCAGCTGGAAGGACAGATGCCCGGAATGGTGGGATCTCTCTTACTTTATACTTATGACTACTGAGGCGTGGTGGGGGCCCATCAGATAGCGATTCTTCACGGCCTGCAAATGGACAAGCCTCTTGATGCAAGAACTCAGGTGAACCAGGCAAAGAACGCCACCGGCGGGCAGGTGGAGCCAGAGGCTCCTGCCAATCAGCCAGGGGCATTGTTGCAGGGCCTGGTGCATCCAGGTCGAATACCAGGGAGATGACAGACTTGCTGGGTAGGTCAAAGAGCTTGATCTTGCCACCTTTGAGGTCCTGGCGAGCACTAAAAGGGTTAACTTTGGGAGTGCGTGTAGCACCATCTCGTGGCCTGTAGTAGGGGTCCAAAACACTCACTGTACGTGAGGGCTTACGAGAGAAGATGTCTGACTGGCTTCGAGACAGCCAAATAGTACGTCTTGGACGTGGGGACTTGTACGGAATCTTGTCATCCAGTGAGCTTAGTCGCTTCCCCCCAGGAACTTTCTCCAAGAGTCCTGAATAACAGTGAGTCAAGCCTGGGTTACTCTCACTAGACATAATAAACAAAGCTATCACTTATTACAGTATTTTCTCTCTGGAAAGCAAAGTACCGTTGTCTCATTTCATCAGCAAGGAAATATTCAGAGAAGGGGAATGTGTCAATTTAACTACTGTTTCAGACTCTGTGATCTCATGGCCCTCCCCTCTTACTTAGCTAAGGACCTGAGACTTTGTGATGAATAGTCCTAGAGGGGAAGGTCCTCCAGGCTAATTTCCTCCCTTGGGGTCAGGTTGGGCTGCCTGTTTGGAACTCTTACCCTTAGCTGTAGGTTGCAGCTTTTTGTCCCTCTCCAGCTCTTCTTCCTGCAGGCGACTCATGATTTCCTCCAGGGTCCTCTCAATCTCCACAAAGGATGGGCGCAGTTTGGGGTCCATCTGTAGGCATCCACACTAGCCATGAACTTTACCCTCATTTTCCCACCCCAAAGGTAGAATTTCAGTGTATTGCTCTTTTTTTAAGATTCAGATGTTCAGCTAAGAGATCTCTACTGAGGCCACAGTTCTTAGGGTGATACCTAGAACTATGGTCAGAAAGGTAACTTGTCTACTATACTTCCTTATCTCAGTCCTCAGTCTGCTTTACCCCTCCAAAAGCATCTCTCTCTCTCTCTTTTTTTTGGTCAGTCTTAGGGCTTGAACTCTGGGCCTCGGTGCTGTCCCTGAGCTCTTCAGCTTAAGGCCACCATTCTACTTGAGCCACAGTGCCATTCCGGTTTTCTGGTCTCACGGACTTTCCTGCCCTGGCTGGCTTTGAACCACGATCCTCAGATCTCAGACTCCTGAGTAGCTAGGATTACAGGCATGAGCCACTGGAGCCCAGCAAACATGATTCTTCTTCTTTTTTTTTTTTTTTTCCCCATACTGCTAATTTGGTTTTACCCTTTGGTCATAAGTAGTCTGGCTCAGATCTGTATAAAATGAAGGCCATGGGCTGGGAAGGTAGCTCAGTGGTAGAGTGCTTGCCTTGCATACATGAGGCCCTGGGTTCGATTCCTCAGCACCACATAACCAGAAAAGGCCAGATGTGGCACTATGGCTCAAGTGGTAGAGCGCTAGCCTTGAGCTGAAGAGCTGAGGGACAGTACCCAGGCCCAGAGTTCAGGCCTCAGGACTGGCCAAAAAAATGAAGGCCAGTAAGAAGAGCCTTTTTTATGTGTCTTTGGACTGGCTAGAGCCACAGTTTAATAGCAAAACCAAACCACAGTGCTATCAAGGTAAGGGATGGTGGGATTGCCTTGCAGGCTGAGGATTAGGAGCCAGTTTTCCCTTCTCTTGGTCCAAAGTCCTCAGCCTAGCTTTACCCAGAGGAGGAACTGTGGTTGGTGTTTAACACATCTAGAGAAAAATGAGGCTAACGAATTTGTAGCCTTTCCTTACAGTCATAATCAGGTAAAAAGAATATAACCAGCTCCTGAAACAAGGCCAGGGGATAAAGATACTCACATTACAGCAGTTGAAGGTGAGCTGCAGAAAGTCAGGGGGGCAGTCTCCCACCATATGCTGGAAAGCGTCATAGTCCAGCCCAAAATTCTGTCATTTGGGGAAGGTATAGGGACATGGGTAGATGTCATCAGTCCCCATCCCCCCCACCCCTACCACCCATCCTGGAGCTGCCTCTAAGAAGTAACCATAGAATGAGTTCAGCCACTCTACCCCAAGAAGATAACAGTTCCACAGCCTCAAACCAGCCCTAGCCCATGGCACTGGTCTGCATGCCTACTGCTCACCTCTGTGCGGGGAAGGTAGTCTGGATCAGCCTGGATGCGGGCGATGATCTCGCAGAGGATGATACCATAAGAGAACACGTCCGCCTGGTGGGTAGTTAGACCTCTGTTTCCCTCTCAATGGATTGAGGGGGTGGAGTATTGCTCCCTCAATTGCCCATGTCTGAGCCTTATTGCCCATATTTCATCCAGGTCAGAAAGGATGTTGATCCTCACCCTGGACTCTTTCTGCTAACAGTGGATTCTAAGGAGTACCAAGCCTGAGATTCTCCACTTACCTTCTCATTGTAGGGCTCATCTCGAAGAACTTCAGGTGCCATCCAGAAGGGTGAGCCCACTACAGCCAACTTCTCACATCCCATGCTGTGGAATGAAAGTGGAAGGGAAGTGAGCTTGCCCAGTACAATGGGGTATTTTTTTTTTTTTTTATGAGTTGTGGGGCTTGAACTCTGGGTCTGGCGCTGTCCCTCAAGCTCTTTAGCTCAAAGTGAATGCTCTACCATTTGAGCCACAGTGCCACTTTCCTGGTGGTTAAGTGGAGATAAGAGTCTCATAGACTTTACTGCCTGGGCTGGCTTTGAATCATGATCCTCAGATCTTAGCCTCCTGAGTTGCTAAGATTACAGGCATGAGCCACTGGCGCCCAACACAATGGGATATTTTGATGGTTGGGAATTCTTTTCCCCCAAGGATGGATACAGATAGCCTAGGACTAGTTAAATTCAGGGAGTAAGGTGGAGCTGTCACTAAATCCTGGTCTTTGGGAAGGAAGCTGGATTTCCCATTAGGACTACTCACCCAATATCAGGGATCTTCTCAGCCAGGCCAAAGTCAGCTACTACTACCGAGTAACCATTCTCATCTCTCTTTATCAGGCAGTTCTAGGGTTCCCAAAAAAGAGGAGAGAAGGTGGCTCAGAAGTAGGGATCAGGCAGCCATAGTTAACTACCCATGCATACATACACTAACCTTCAATACCCTCTGGGTCACACCAATATTCCTAGCATAAGTCTATGATTTGGCTAGGAGTACAGCTCAGTGGTACAGTGTGTGCGTGGCATGTATAAGGCCTTATGTTCAAGCCCCAGAACACCACACACACACCATCTGATCTGGCTCTGTCTAACTAGGAGTACAGCTCAGTGGTACAGTGTATGCGTGGTATGTATAAGGCCTATGTTCAAGCCACACCAACACACACACACACACACCCATCTGATCTAACTGGCCCCTGTGCTTATATAGCACAGCTTATCCAAACTTAAACTTGTCACAGAAAGCTTTTGCTTTTGTTTATACCATTCCCTTCAATTTGGAATATCCTCCAAATTCATTGTTTCATATATTGTATCTCTCTCTCTTCTCTCCTTCCCCCTCTAGCGAATCCCTCTCTCCCATTTTCATTTTTATTTTGTGCTGGGAATCAAATCCAGGACCCACACATACTTTTCTTTTTTTCTTTTTTCTTTTGGTCCAGTCGTGGGGTCTGAACTCTGAGCCTGGGCGCTGTCCCTCAGCTCTTCAGCTCAAGGCTAGCACTCTACCACTTGAGCCACCTTCCCAGCCCCCCACATTCCCAGCCACTTCCATTCACAGTCTAGCAGGCAGGCTGTGAGCACCTGGGGAACA